TAGTATTTAATATGTTTTCTTGAGATTGCATCTTCAATCCAATTAACAGACTCATTCGAATTATTGGCATCTTGCATATTGATGTTTTAATTTTGTTTATAGCAGAAATACAAATTCTTGGAGAAAAAAGCAAAAAAAAAGGTAATGTAACGTTTCTGGTGTAACTGTAAAAAGATATTTATGTGTTCATGATTTTCCAAATCAATTAATTACCAATTTTAAATTGTAACATGTTGACGTCCATTTGCATCCTATACTTGAACATATAAGTAAGAATAAAAAATCGATTAATGAAGCTAATGCAAATATCGTTAAACTGAAGTGGTAACAATTGTTACTAGTATTTAATTACTGCAGGTTTTAGGACTAACCATTAAACCGGATTAACTGGTTTGAAGTATTTCCGGTCGATGTTGCAGATCACTTGTTCTATATAGAAAAGATTCGTATTGCGGTATGATCTGCAAGATTACCAGAATTTTATTCAAAATAAGAAAAATAATTTATTTATATGATGCACTTGCCCTTCAATTATTATTTTTATATTTTTTTTTATTGAATAAAAAGGAATATCAATAATCAATCGATTAAAATTTAAATTTTTATAATAATTCACTGCGATAATACCGTATTGGTCCTATAATAAAAAGCTCTATATATGTATTACCGGTAAAAATTACAGAATAAGTCCGTACCGTACGGTACGATTCAAATTTCGTGAAATGTACTGACCGATTTTTTTCATATGCTCCAAAAATATGCATGAAAAAAACAAATAAAGCTGCAATTTAACATGGTTGCATAAAATTTTAGAAATTAATAAATTTATGTTCCTAGCGTTGGATATGATTTTTATTTATTATAACGTTTTATGACTCGGGAATCAATTTGAAAATGTAGCTCATTATGGGATCATTTTGATGCTTAACGTGTAAATATGTGTGGCGTTTAATATTTAAGTAATGTAGGGTTCCTTTGCATTTCATGTTTATTATTGACAATGAGAATATGGATTATTATTTAAGAAATGAGGGTTCTAATTTATCTTGTAAATATATTCTTTAACATATTTTAAGCCCTTAGAAGGTAAGATTACAACAACCCATTTTAGAAATTTCGTTTTTGAATAATTCCAAAGTGAAAAAAATTGATCTAATATGTTTTTTTCTTTCAATGTGGAGAAAATATGTCTTTACTGGATATTAGAATATTTGTTGCAATAGACTTTGGAATTACTTTTTCTGGTTCGCGTACGTTCACAAAGAAACGCTTATAGTATTATTGTCCGCAGCATAGCGAAGGACAACCAAATACTAGACATGTCAAATGCAATGTCGTTCTGTCTTGCCGGAACTTTATGTTTTCTGCCTTCCGTATTGTTGATAAATCCTAGAACTTAAAAAAATGTATTAGTTTGAGTTTTTTAAAAAAAAAGTATATATATATCGTCGGACAATAATTTTACTGACACATTTCCATACTGCGATACGTCATAAGATCGGAGAAAATAGTATTACGACTTAATTAAATTTTTTATTATAAATCACATGATATTTACTACGCAATATTACGCACGCACGAATGTGGCCTTGCTATCATCTCGAGTCTATCAGTTACAAAAAGTATGAACAACGTCAACATTTTATTTATCTATATACGTTTTCAAAATCACATTTTCAACCCTCTCTTGAGCATTTTTAGCCATGTATAATAATTTGAATACCTATAAAAATAAAAATTTATCCCTTGAGAAGTCTTTATCGTTCCATAAGGAATTATTAGAGGACGCGGACATAGACCTAAATGATGGAGGATCCTTGGTTCTAAATAATGAAAAACTAAAAGCTCACTCAAGAATCGTTCTTCAAAATTCAAAGCAGCAAAATAAACACACATACAAGCGATATTTTCATTATCACGGAAGATGTACAAAGATTATTAAAAAGAAAAGAAATATTGCTTTATAGGGACAAGATCTCCATCTTTAATCATACAATCAAACAAAGGTTGGGATTTAAAGTTTGGGACAAAGTAACGGTTGCTTTTGACCGAAAATTTGTGCTGGACAAGGTAGATTTTAAGAAGGAGGATCAAGAATATATTTTAAAATTAGAGAATATTTTGAATGATGTTAAAATAACCGTTGTAGAATTTGAACTACTATTAAGAATGAAAATGTCAGGTAATAACGAATTTCATCAAGGTGATGTGCAAACTCTGGATCAAGCAAGAAGATCTCTTGAAACAACATTTCCAAATGAGTTAGGTTTCCGTTACAAAAAATTCTTGATGCATTAAATGTTT